CAGGAAACCCTATACCATTTCAGACAAATGGCTGTCCAGTCTCTTCTTAAAAACTTCCAGTGTTGGAGCATTCACCGCTTCTGGAGGCAGGTTGTTCCACTGGTTAATTGTTCTAACTGTCAGGAAGTTTCTCCTTAGTTCTAGGTTGCTTCTCTCCTTGATTAGTTTCCATCTGTTGCTTCTTGTCCTGCCTTCAGGCACCTTGGAAAATAGCTGGACTCCCTCTTCTTTGGGGCAGCCCCTGAGATACTGGAAGACTGCTATCATGTCCCACCTCGTCCTTCTCTTCATTAAACTAGACATTCCCAATTCCAGCAGCCGTTCCTTATATGTTTTAGCCTCCAGTCCCCTGATCATCTTTGTTGCTCTTCTCTGTACTCTTTCCAGAGTCTCAGCATCTTTTTTAGGGTTAGGGTACTTTAATCTGCTTTCAGTTGTGGAAGCACAACTTTGGGCAAGTCAGTTTCTCTTGGCCAAGCCTACCTAACTTAGAGGTTGATAGAGAAAAACTGGGGGGGGACACATTACCTTGCTTGGATCTCTTTTAGAAAGCAGGGAGGTAGACATTTAATAAAAAACACTTTTTTAAAGAAGTGTTTTATGCTGTTAAGGTGGGGAGTACAACGGTATCCCAGGGTATTCCTCTAAAAGCCTTACGTGCTATATTTCTCAGGTGATTTGACTGAAGAATGAAAAAAAGCGATCATTGTTCAAAAAAAAAACCCTCCCATACAGGTAGTCCTCTGCTTACAGTCGCAACTGAGCTCAAAATTTCTCTTGCTTTTGCCCCATGTTAACGACCTTTCTCGCCACAATTATTAAGTGAATCTACTGCCCTTGCTAACAATTAAGTATAATTAAGTAAATAATTAACTAAATCCGGCTTCCCCAATGACTGCTTGCCAGAAGGTCGCAAAAGGGGATCACGTGACCCCGGGACCCTGCAACCGTCATAAATACGAGTCAATGGCCAAGCCTCTGAATTTCAGCCACCTGACCCTGGCGATGCTGCAACGGTCCCAAGTGTGAAAAAACAGTCATAAGTCACTTTTTTCAGCGCCGTTGTAACTGAATGGTCATTAAGCAAACTANTGACTGCTTGCCAGAAGGTCGCAAAAGGGGATCACGTGACCCCGGGACCCTGCAACCGTCATAAATACGAGTCAATGGCCAAGCCTCTGAATTTCAGCCACCTGACCCTGGCGATGCTGCAACGGTCCCAAGTGTGAAAAAACAGTCATAAGTCACTTTTTTCAGCGCCGTTGTAACTGAATGGTCATTAAGCAAACTATTGTAAGTCGAGGACTACCTGTGTTTTATTTAGGTAACGTTCTTGTTGTTAAATGCTTAGCATAAAACAGTCACCCTCCCTTTTTGGTGTATTTATTGCCCTGCCCTTTCTTTTTAGCAATAATGGAAATTGTGTGGTTTCAAGGTCCCTTAAAAAAGGGGCAAGGAAGCCCAGTTGCCAGTTAATGCCTCAGGTAGCAATTGCGCCAATATTGAAAAAGAATAAAAATGTAATATGGACTATTTGCAGTCGGTTTATAAACTGAAAAAGGCAAGGAAATTGGCCTTTTTCAGGAGCTTTTCGCCGTTCTAATGGACACGTTTTCCCCCCCCCCCCTTCTCTTCTTGCTTTGCAATCATGAGATCCAGGAGCTTTTCCAGAGTTTTATCTCTCTAACCTGCTGCTTATTGGATGACCACGGTTCACAAGTAATGCGTTATGGTTTCCCACTTTTATAGTGGCAATTCCAGGCAGATGGAAGATTTGATGGCTTTCTGCTCGTCCACAGCCGAGCCGTGCTCGGTTTTGGCATCATAAGTTGCAACATTACACCCCTGCCTTTGTCTTTACCAGTGTGTTGTAAAATCTCTGCATTGCCCTGCATAACTACAGTGGGGGGGGGGACTTAAAGATTCACCTCTGATTTTCTTTTTTGAGTGAGGCGTTCTGCCGCCAGCGTTCAGATAATTTGCCACAGCATGGAGAGAAAAAAAAAAAGAGGGAAGGGAGGCCTGCACCGAAAGAAGAACTGCAGCTTGTAAAAGATGAATGTGACTTTTTTTTCCCCTCCTCTCCCCGTAGCCCCCCACCGCCAAAATGCACGCCATCATCGAACGGACCGCCAATTTCGTCTGCAAGCAGGGCGCCCAATTTGAGATTATGCTGAAGGCAAAACAGGCTCGCAACTCCCAGTTTGATTTCCTGCGGTTTGATCACTACCTCAATCCTTACTACAAATTTATTCAGAAAGCCATGAAGGAAGGGCGCTATGCTACGGAGAAGAAAAAAGAAGAGGAAAAAGGTAAGTCATCAGAAGGGTTGGTTGGTTTTTTTTATTTTATTTTATTTTAAGAAACACGGTGTCAGGCAGCTTGTAAGCTCGTGCGTTCCTGTCTGAATCACTCCAGCGTCTTGACAGCTGAGAAAGCTGTTTCCTAATATCTGCTGCAGATGTTTTAAGTCGTTTTTCCAAAGGCTACAGAGAGAGGATTAGGAGTCTAAACGCTTCAAAATGACAGCCTCCCCAGGCGTAACCCAACTTTCGGCAGCGTTTACCCGTTCCTTTTTAAATCCATTTAAAAAAAAAACAAAACCCTGACGTTTTATGCTTGCATTTATACGGTTTTCCTCCTTCGGCAGGGCTCTTTTATAAAAGTAACAAGTAGCTTTGAGAAAACATTTCAGCTTAAACATTCCAGGCAGGAAATGTTGCTGTATACAGGTAGTCCTCGGCGTGGTGGAGCCTGCCCATCGTGGTTGTAACATGGGTTGATTTTCTCTGCAGTGGTTGAAAAGCGAACTCTTGACTTGTTGTGGGCGCACTTTTGCCCCAAAAACCTCCCAAATAACAAAGTGCCTGTTTTCTGCAAAACTATCTGCAAACAGCTGCAAATGCAGCTGTATTGCCCAGGGCCCAAAGTCTGATCATGGGACTGCAGAAGGAACCCAACCATCACAAGTCGCGAGCAGCCCTAAAATAGGTTTGTCGTAACTTCAAACAGTCCCTAAGGAACCGGTCATAAGTGGAGGACTAGCTCTATGCGCTTCGTGTTCCTAAAATAGCAGAGAGTCGGGAAGACAAACAGAATTCACAGCACAGGGAGTCCTCCACTCACCAATGAGCCCAAAATGTTGTTAAGTGAGTTTTGCCCCCATTTTACGACCTTTCTCGCCACAGTTGTTAATTGCTGTAATTGTTAGGTCAGCAATGCAGTTGTTAAATGAATCCATCTTCTTCACTGACTTTGCTGGTTAGAAGGCTGCAAAATGGGGAATCACGTGACACACACACACACACACCCTGGGACACTGCATGTGAAACAAATATGAATCGGTTGCCCGGTGTCTTGACTTTTGATCACTTGACCCCAGGGACGCTAGAACGTCGTCAGCCTGGAAAACTATCCCGAGTCGCTTTTTTTCAGTGCCCTTCTAACCTGGAACGGCCACTAAACAAAACTGTCCAGGACTACCTGTATTTGCAAAATGGATGCTGCTGTGCAGGGGTGAGCTTGCCCAAGAAGTGTAGATGCCTTCAAGGCAACATCATTTGAAGTGTCTCCCAAAAAATCACATTGTCAATAGCCGTGACAGCTTTTTAACCAAAGCCTGAGAACTTGGTGCCCTTAATGATATGGAGAAACTTCAGCCAGGCAGTTTGGCTTGCCTTGGGTGTCAACGCTGCAAATACTGTATATTCTTGCTTTGACAATATGCAGAACTGTCTGGTATTTATATAGTTAAATCAGGCAACAGTGAAAGCCGGGAAAAAGAAACCGGAAGTAAATCATGTGGTCCAAGTTGATTGGAAGATGTGAACCATGACCCTACAATAAGGGAGTGGGAAATGCTTGGAATGTATATGCGTAAGGGAAGAGAAGCAGACCTAAGCATTTCCACCATGCTGTACTGACGTCTCTGTAACCTTAATAAATGCTTTTAGGAGAAAATATGCCTGAAAGTCCTTTTAAGTGTTTCGTTAATCAGACACATGACATTGGGCTTTTGACTCCATTCCTTTCAGCATCCTCCTCCCGATGTGACTCTCTGTAATACTGCCATTAAATTAAAAAAAAAAGGTCTCGTCATTTATATTCTTCCCTCGGCAGATGACATGGAATCTGATGACGAAGACGACGATGACAACGAAGGCAACTATCTGCATCCCAGCCTTTTCGCTTCTAAGAAACGGAGCAGGCTAGAAGAGCTGATGAAGGTAAATGCAGCCGGCTCAAACTTTTTCTAAAGCAGTGTTTCTCAACCTTGACAGTTTTAAGGCATGTGGACTTCAACTCCCAGAATTCCACAGCCAGCATTGGTGGCTGTGGAATTCTGGGAGTTGAAGTCCACATGCCTTAAAATTGTCAAGGTTGAGAAACACTGTTCTAAAGCAATATCCATTTTCTCTGAGCAGAAAACGTTCAGTCTTAAACTGATGTTTTAAACTGCTGTTAAATTCCTGTACAAAAAATCCCTGCCCTTTTTTCCCCATTCTTCCAGGTTACTACCGTGTTTTCCCCAAAATAAGACCAAGTCTTATATTAATTTTTGCTCCCAAAGACCCATTAGGGCTTATTTTGTGGTTAGGTCTGACGTTCGGGGAAATATAGTACTATATGCGTCCATCTGGCTGACCATCTTAACTGGGGCTTATTTTGAGGGGTGAGGCTTATGTTATGAGTGTCCTGAAAAATCATGCTAGGGCAGTGGTGGCGAACCTATGGCACGCGTGCCAGAGGCAGCACTCAGAGCCCTGGGCACGCGCGCCATGCCCCAGAGATGGCAACCATCCCTCTTCAACCAGCCACCCGCTAACTCGCCGAGGTCCCACGTGGCTGGATGCATCCCAGCACCCATGCGCTCGCTGGCCTCTGTGTGCAGGGGCCAATGGTGTCAGGCAGCAGCCACCCCGGCCCCTGCCTCACCTTTTCCTGTGACAATGGCACCCCCACCCTGCCTCGCCTCTCCCCACAGGACGAGCCTCCTGCCCACCGCCCCACCTGCCAGAGGCCCCCTGGATCTCCCCAAACCCTGCCCCGGTCCCTCCCCACGAGCAACATTGAGGTGATCATGCCCACCTTGGCCACACCCACCCAATCTGCCATGACCACAGCCATGGCCATCCAGTGGGCCACGCCCACCTGGCACCCGGCGATAAATAAGTGGGTTTTGGGTTGCAGTTTGGGCGCTCGGTCTCTAAAAGGTTCGCCATCACTGTGCTAGGGCTTATTTTTCAGTTGGCTCTTATTTTCGGGGAAACACGCTAATGCTGGATAATGTCCTTCTAGTTTTGCACACTATATGGAGTGAGGTTTTTTTTTTTCCCCCCCTCTTGTCTCCTAGCAAAACCCTTTGTGATTTCCCTTCCTCCATCTCTCTCTTGGTGGTAGGGGTTTCTCTGCTGTCAACCCTGTTTCTTTCAGGGAGGAGAGACAATTCAACATTTTTTCCCACCTTTTTTCGATGAGCAAAAGCACAATCAAAGTTAACAATGACAAAGAAAGTTCTCTTCTATTGGTGAAAATTATAAAACGTTGTCCCTGCTAGTAATCCTAGCCAGCTTGGTATAGTAGTTAAGATCCTGGCCTAGAAACCAGGAGAGTGTGAGTTCTAGTCTCGCCTTAGGCAAGAAAACCAGCTAGACGACTTTGGGCCAATCTCCAGGAGATGGTGAGTTATAGTCCCATCTTAGGCAAGGAAGTCAGCTGGGTGACTCTGGGCCAGTCTCCAGGAGATGGTGAGTTATAGTCCCAATTTAGGCTTTGGGCCTAAATGACTCTGGGCCAGTCTCCAGGAGATGGTGAGTTATAGTCCCATCTTAGGCAAGGAAGTCAGCTGGGTGACTCTGGGCCAATCTCCAGGAGATGGTGAGTTATAGTCCCAATTTAGGCTTTGGGCCTAAATGACTTTTGGGCCAATCTCCAGGAGATGGTGAGTTATAGTCCCAATTTAGGCATGAAAGTCAGCTGGGTGACACTGAATCAGTCTCACCCTCTCAGCCTAACCCACCTCACAGGGTCGTTGTTGCAGGGAAAATAGAAGGAGGGAGGAGTATTAGATGTGATCACTACCTTGAGTTATTTACAAAACATAATGAAGGCGGGATATAAATCGGATAAATAAATCCTATCTCCAGCGAGCAGTTTGAATCATCCTGGCCAATGTGGTTGAAGAACTTGTGGTGTTTTTCTCAACCAGAGGGACGATGATTTGATGTTGGGCAGTCAATGTGAGGGGGTCCAGCCCCACTGACGTTCCTTGTGTTTGCCTCTTGTAGCCTCTGAAGGTGGTGGATCCCGATCACCCGTTGGCCGCCCTTGTCCGCAAAGCTCAAGCCGACAACCTCGCCATTTCTCAGGCGAGCGAAGGATCAACCGCTCCGTCGTCCCAAGTCGAATATTCTTCTGATCGTAAGTACACGTTTGACATAAGAGAATTCACGCTGGGAGGAAGTTGCCATTTATAATGGGCTCAAAGAGACAATAGTGATGGGTTATTGGGTAGCCTTTAGCAGATGGGCTTCATGCCAACTTGGGTTGCATGCTTGTGCCATTAACCATCTTTTCCATCACACATTTAGACACTGAACACAACCTATCCATTTCAGGAAAGGAAGTATGATTCTGTCGTTTCTTCTCTGCAGCTCAGAGTTATCTAATTAGAAAGAACAATGGCGTCTAGGCTAATAAGGTCCAGTCTTAGTACCAATACAAAACAATCTCATTATTTTGGAGATACCAATAAGTAATTTGAGATGATGATGATGATGATGATGATGATGATGATGATGATGATGATGATGATGATGATGATGATGATGATAATAATAATAATAATAATAATAATAATAATAATAATAAAAAGTTGGAAGGGACCTTGGAGGTCATCTAGTCCAATCCCCGGCTCAGGCAGGAAACCCTACACCATTCCAGACAAATGGCTGTCCAGCCTCTTCTTAAAAACTTCCCGTGTTGGAGCATTCACCGCTTCTGGAGGCAGGTTGTTCCACTGGCTAATTGTTCCTGACTGTCAGGAAGTTTCTCCTTAGTTCCAGGTTGCTTCTCTCCTTGATTAGTTTCCACCCGTTGCTTCTTGTCCTGCCTTCAGGGGCTTTGGAGAATAGCTTGACTCCCTCTTCTTTGGGGCAGCCCCTGAGATATTGGAAGAGTGCTATCATGTCCCCCCTCGTCCTTCTCTTCATTAAACTAGACATACCCAATTCCAGCAGCCTTTCCTTATATGTTTTAGCCTCCAGTCCCCTGATCGTCTTTGCTGCTCTTCTCTGTACTCTTTCCAGAGTCTCAGCATCTTTTTTACATCGTGGTGACCAAAACTGGATGCAGTATTCCAAGTGTGGCCTTACCAAGGCATTATAAAGTGGTATTAACCCTTGACGTGATCTTGATTCTATCCTTACATGGGTATAAAATGAATTGCATATTTGGAGCTTCAATTAAATTAGTGGTATCCTGGAGCAAGTTAGGGTTAAGGAGGTGACAGGAGATCTTATTTAATAGATGAATTAATGCATTTTTTGTAGTGGAATGTTGTCTGGGGTTGCAGGAGGGAAGGGCTTCTTTCCGGAGGGACCCTCCCTAGCAGTTCCCAGAGCAGCTCTTTAGTTATGCTGATAATTGCTTTAATCTGGCAAGAATCTGTCGGTAGGTAAATGACACAAAGGCAGCCCTTGAGAAGCAACTCCACCGGTCGTCCTTAGTTCTTCGGGCCTGCGTGTGTAAAAGATCCTTGCAAACTCGTGAAATTTTCCAAATACAGATGGTCCTCAACTTACAACAGTCTGTTTAGCGGCCGTTCGAAGTTGCAACGGCACCGGAAAAAGTGACTTAGGACCGTTTTTCACACTTTTTCAACTGTTGTGGCGTCCCCTAGGGTCACGTGATCCAAATTCAGATGCTTGGCGGACTGACTCCTATTTGTGACGGCTGCAAGGTCCCGGGGTCAATGCCATCCCCTTTTGTGACCGTCTGACAAGCAACGTCAAGGGGGAAGCCGCTTAACAACTGTGTTACTAATTTCACAACTGCAGTGATTCAGAAAGTGGCCAGAAAAGTCGTAAAATGGGGCCCAGGTTTACACGTGTCTCGCTTAGCAACAGAAATGTTGGGCTCAATTGATGTCGTAAGTCGAGGACTACCTGTACTTTCCCCTGAATTCAGATTTTGGGTCAAGTGGGGGGGGGTTATCATTGGAACAACGGCATGTTGGGGTGCATGGCCTCAGACCTCTGGGTTAAATTAGTATGCTCTAAAACGGCAGTCCCCAACCTTTCCGGCTCTGCAGACTAGTTGGGGGGGGCAGACAGCAGCGGGGTGGGGGGGTTGAGAGCGGATGGTTCCACTTAAGCAGCGGGTGCACTTGCCCAAAGGGAGCTTCGCGGGCGAGCGCACACTCACTGCTTGCACAAACGCAGTTTTGTGCGCTCGCCCGATGCTTGCGCAGCCCAATTCCCAAGAGACCACAGCCTGGTACCGGATCACGGCCTGGGGATTGGAGACCCCTGCCCTAAACGGTGATATTTTCTGGATTGGAGTTGTCTCTTCTTCTCTCCCCCCCCCCCCCAAAAAAAGTCAAAGAACATATCTTTGTGGCTTGGAGAATATGCTGTTTAATACACCCTGTCCCATCTTTTTCCAGGCAGGTTGGGCTGAACAGTGAAGCTGTGGCTTCAGAGTTGATAGTCCCATTGCAGGAAAAAAATGACCTGTCTTTTCTCGCCTAGCAACAGTTGCCCCCGATGATGTATTTTTATTCTTTTCCCATCATCGGGCTGCCTGTTTCATTAGACTAGGGAAGATGGATTGTGCAATATTGATAATCCTAAACTCCAAAGAGCAGAGTGGAAGGGAATCAAATTAATGAAGACGGTTTCATTTTGGAAGGCGCATGCCATGCATCAGTTTACACAAATTGAGCATCAGAGGGTATAGTTAGTAATATTTTTCATACTTCTGCTCTCTGTATGCGAGATCCGACAGCTTCCTATTAGTCTGTGTTAGCATCAGAGAAACGAGACCTCGAGGTTTCGATTCTTGCTTTCTCAACGTAGTATCCACGGAACCGCAATCATTCGGATTTAAAAAAACAGAAATCATCCTGGCTGCATCTAAACTGGAGCCAGCTCATTCTTGGTGTGGAACATAGTAGCATTTAACCTTTCATTTGAGTAAAACTTCTTTATTTTTTCCTGGCTTCGCTTCCTTGTTACAATGCCTCAAAGAGATTGAACGGAAGACAGAACCTACAGACACCCATCATCAAAACATACGTGTCTGGGAAAATGTTAATTTAGCTATATTTCTCCACCGTAGGGGAAAAGGAAGGGGAAAAAAATCAAAGCTGCTTCATTCATTTCAGAAATACAGCACTGTTCTTTAAAAAGGAGGTCCTAATCTGTAATTAGAAGACCAAAGATAGGATGGTGCAGAGAGTCAGACTCTTAACAGCATGCCATGAATAGTTTTTTAAAAAAATGACTGGTTTCAGTGAGAAATAAAATCAGCGTTCTTCATTGCTGTCACAAAGAACCCCGTAGAATATTACATACCTGCCCAGTGATGGCCAAGTTTTTTTAAAAAAGTGACTAGGTATTATGAGCACAGTGCTTTCTATGGTTCAGTTTCAGATTCCTGTTTGTTTCACATAGGGGTTTTTATTTTATTTTATTGGGTTGTTTTTATCATTGATCTCTGATCATAAAGAAATTGATTTATACATGTGAGGCAAACCAACTCAACAGGAGCGTGTAGTTGGATGGCAATTTCTCTTACCTTGGTTCTCACTTTTCAAACTGACAAAGCTCATGAATGTGATTTTCAAAACAATAGTTCAAAGTACAGTTGGTATCTCGGTCCTCATTGCTAATTGGTTCTGGGAGGCGCAATGAGTACCAAAACCTATCAGTATCAAACAAATTTTTCACACATGAAATAATGTGGTGAGTCACAAATCAGCAGACACAGACAAGTTCTAGCTTGTGCATTGAGTACCAAACAAACAATGATTATCGGGACCAAATTTTCGTGTCAAAGTGCATTGAGTACCAATTTTGATGAGTTTCAAAGCAGTTGAGCACCAAGGTAGCACTGTACAACGCGAAGCAAAAAATCAGTCTTGGCTAAATGCAGATGAGGGGAGAACCAATTTGTTCTTTTCCTTGTATTGGCTTCCATTGCATCCATCCTTTAATTTGTTCTTGTGCTTCTAGCGGCGAAAGTTTTTCTTAATTAACTTATTGTAAATATTGTCTCATCCTGGATAAATAGTTTGTTTGAAGGAGTGCCTTAATTTTCATGCTTTTCCTAGCCCAATCGTTCATTTTTCTGCATGAAATTAGCTGCATTGGAGATGCTCCCTCACTCAGAAAGAAAAGGGTGGCAAATTAAACTCCCGGTGAATATCCAGAAGATAGTTGATCTGTTTAAATTATCTGCATAAGTATACTCATTGTATACTGAGCTAATTGGATTTCTAGCATCTAGATTTTTATCTTTTAAAAGCTCAGAAAGAGTTTTAAATATAATCAGTTTATAACGATTCATGTTTTGAGAGTAAAGCATCGATTGATGATTTCCTGGAGGCTTATCCTTTTGAAAACATTTTTGTTTTGTTTTGTTTATTACTACTTCATATTTCTTACTGCAAATAAGTAATACTGTTGTAAAAGGGAGGGGAGTTGCATAACTTTATTCTCAAAAGGACATTTGTCACGGTGGTCATTGTTAGTTTTATCTGTTCTGCAACACCAGATGAATTCATCAAGTGAGTCATTTATTGCACATTAAATATTAAAATGAGTTAAAGGCCAGCTGAGCAAAAGGCGTGATGCTAATCACCAAATAGTCATCTTAATAAGAAAACGAGGTCTTGCAAAATGAGACAGAATTACTTAAGAGTGCTGTAGAAAATTACCCAGAACTTAAAACCCCATCATAACATAGAAGTGGCATTTACAATCTTTACATTCTCTTATCACAATCTTGGGATTGAAAGGAGACCGAGAGGTCATTTTGGTCTGGGTGATTATTTTCAAACGTTCTGAATTTTGTTTAGTGGCAGAACATGCCAGCAGGGATATCTGGAGCGGCCATATAATTCTTTTCTACGGGAAGCTGCCTTACGTTATTCCAACTGCTTGTTCCTCAAGAGTCACCTTGTCGGTGAGAGGGGCGGCACATACATTTAATAAATGAAATAATCCCAAAGGTGGTTTTTTTTTTAAGAAAGTCCATTTGCCCTTTGAAAAAAGCACTTTTGGGACAACCCATGACCTGGATGACTGAGAATCTCCATAGACCAATGAAAAAAAAAAGTTTGGTATTGTCTACCGTAGAAAGGCAGCGATCCCTTCTCTAGAAACTGAATTTGAAGGCAGAGATTCTCCGCCTCTGAC